GTTATTATTAATGACACGTCTTGAATTTGTTGACAACGCCCAATAACAATGACAGTAATAAACTGAAAAATTAGAATAACAATACACTGTATGTCCACTCAATTAAGTTGTCTCTTGTTAATGTTTATTTTAATATTCTTGTCTTACAATAAAAAAATTATGCATATATCCAGATCCATTGTTCACTGCAGTAAAAGAGCAGAAATATTCGTTTATAATTGCCGCATTATTTTCTCCCTATTTTAAAACTCCTGAAAAACGCGAGAGTAATAAGACTTATTAATAAGAACAGAGTATAAACATGTTGACGGCATTTATAGGTCGGGCTGTATTTAACGATTTTAATCAACCACGTTTACGGAGACCGTGGGAACGAGCATGTTTGGAGTTTACGAGAACGGTGATATAATTTTAGATATAGGTAATGAGAACCATATTGGTGTTCTAGAGTAGTAATAAATTTATGCGACAATAGTCCCTAAATGTTTGTTCAAAAAAAGGTTTAGTGTGAAATATGATAGTGTGATGGCCTCGTGTTATTGCCACAATGCATGCCTGTGAAAAAATTTTATAGTAGATGAAACTGAGAATTAAAGATAAAAGCATCAAGCGGTAAACTATCCCATATGCTTTAAAAAGTGATATTCTATATTAGGGAAAATTCTAAACCCCCAAAATTAGACTTCAAAATGCAATGCATGAATCTCGATCAAAATAGCTTTACGAGATGCTCGATACGTTTACACATAAAATCGATAACTAGGGAATAATTTTGTTCTTAATTTAATTAAGAAATTATTTCTTTGTTTGAGATCATGGTTCTTGTTTATATTTAAAGTTGTCTTTTTGTTTGTATATTCCAAGGCCGTCGGAAGAAGGGGGGGGGGGGGCTTAAGCCTCCCTCCCTCAGTAATTTCCAGTTGTATAAGCAAATCACACAAAAGAATTAGAAAAGTGCGAAAGCAATTCAGATTTATTCTTGAGCCCCCAATATTAATATACTTCCGACGGATATGGTGGAAAATTAATTTTTTTCTCAAATTAACATTATTTTTCTTGGCGCAAGAATTAATTTTTAAGATTATAAATCTTTTTTGAAAAGGGATATAGCTATATAATCGTCAGCCATGAAATATTATCGCTTTTTCAGTTTTCTTCTCTCGCAAGTTTTACAATGTAAAAATATATTGTTTTAAGATAATTTACCTAACTGCAAGGTTACGTTTTTGTACAACATGTATAGCTAGTGACCTTTAAGTAACACATTTTAAGTAACAAACTATCCAAACTATAACATGATTTGAACTTTAAAAATTAATCAACAATTATGATGTAAAATGATTACTAATAAAAAATGTTTGAAAGTCTGCAACTTTAATTACGGTACGACATACCACAGTAGTGAACTCTCCTTATAAATTATGCCAGAAAATGGTTGATCGACATCGTTATGAATAATTCATGACTCGGTTCATCTTTAAATAAATATATCTTCCTAATGAATTTTTCTCAGATTTTAATAAATCTTGCTAAGATTTTAATAAGCTATTTTTTCTATACTGTGATCTTCCCTGCTGGCAGAGGTCTCTAATTGTGCTGGGAACTTGAAGGAGAAGAGACCTCTGCCTAGATCCAACACGTTTTCTGTCGCGCATGTGCAAGAATTGCCATGACAATGAGTGATTTTCACCACGTGATATCAAGCCGGTTTTTGCGGGAGCAACTGGTAATTCAAAGACTTACCGTGGTTTGAAGGCAAACAAATGTATCTCGACCCGATAAAACAGAAAAGATTGCTTTCTTTTGTTCTTCTGTCACTGCTTTCACAGTTTCATCTTTGAAAATATCAATTACATAACTTAGAGCACTTCAAACAACATGAAGAATCTCGAAATGACCACGCTGTCCAAGCCGCCATTTTGACACTACGGGCTCAATATGTCATTACAGCGTAATTAAGCTCTGAGCATGCGTACTATTTGTTTCTCTAAACCGGTTTCAGAACTTGTTTTACAAACTGGTTTGACTCGTCCACGATCATGGACTGAGGAAGTGTAGGATCTAAGCAGAGGTCTCTTCTCCTTCGAGTTCCCAGCACAAAAAGAGACATCTGCCAGCAGGGAAACTCTGATCATGATCAGTTATAATTTAATTCAAGAATAACTTTCTTACATAGAAAAGTTGCAAAGTTACGTACATGACAAAATCTTGGTAAGACTTTTGTTGATAAGATGTTGTTTCTTAAATCAAGAATATTTTTCTTGTTTGCAGCAATCTTGACAAGAAAAATTTTGTTACGTACGGGAGAAGATGTTTTTTATTTTAGGGACAAATTTGCTTGAAACAAGATTTTTTTCTTAATTAAAATAAGCTTTTAATTTTTTGCAGTGAAGGTATCGGAAAACATGGAGGAAAAGTATAGGTAGTTTACTAGTTATATCCGTAAAAAGTTGAAATGAATAAGCAACAAGCCAATAGATTAATAATAAGGTTTTGAAACAGAACTGACTATATATATTCTAAAAATAAGATTGAAAATCCGGCGTGCGTGCAAACATATACAAATAATTATATTGTGTTTGATTACAAATACATGTATAATGGAGACATTTATAGCACAAATTAATTTCATAAATGTCAGCATATATAAATCACTAAAACCAGTGCACCTGCATGTCTATACAATATATGATACAAAAATATCATATTTTGGTGTCATAAATTCATTTTGCAACCTTAATTATTCTAGGATTCCACTCCTGTTAACCGTTTCCATTATGGAAATAAGAATGATACCAACGGCATAGAATAAAGATCAGTAACAGAAGGGCCACTGAGCAGTGCAATGTGTCCGCGTTTTTTTATGCAAAAATATGCAGTTTACTGGCCAGGAGGAGGAGGAGGATCAGCCAGCCAGTACAGCGTGTTTATTGGCCAGAAAATGTCATTGACTGGCTAGGAAAATGGCGGTCAACATGCATAATGCGACATGCGCGAGGACAGAAACTTCAAAGCTTCCGACGTAAGTGGCCCTTCTATATGGATCTTTATTCTATGCCAACGGGTACAGCTGAAATTCCGATTGCAACACACTTGAACAGGAAATGGTGAAAGAGTTTTTTAAGTCACCACGAGAAGTGCAGTGGAGATGGGGGTAAATAATTATATAAGAATGATATTAACTTGTATTAAATAAATCAATATAATAGTTATTAATAGTAATTATTAGTATTAATAATTACAAAACCTGATGCAATATATATTAGACGGCCAACTGCATCGTGGTTAATATAATTACATGGTTAGGCAAGCTGGCAGACGTCAAAGCACAGGAAGCACAGGCTCTGCGGGCGCCCGTGCCAGCCCTAACCCTAGCTCCTTTAATTAAAATAGGGAAGGGAGGAACGAATGACGGGCGAAATCGCCTAAACAAGTATACATAGCCGTATTTCTTTCGAGTAAAATCGGTACAGCCGTCAAATTAAGGATGAACATGTATAACTCTTTTAAAAAACATAAAATCGTCAAAGAGTTTAAATTCGCATTATATAGAATACGACGAAGAAACGATAGTGTTCAGCCAAAATGTATATATCCGCGTCTTACTTCATCATGTGCAAAAAATTAAGCGGAAATCGTTAAACAATTCGAACGCACTGAGCTATAGCTTAAACTTGATTGGACAACGGACTAATTAAGCCACTCCCTGCGGATAAAATATTTAATTACATTTATTTATAAATTCGTTCTCCGATCAGGATATATTTTGGCAGAATACTAATGTTTCTTGGCCGTATTCTATAGCAAATTTAAACTCTTTGGCGATTTTATGTTTTTTATAGAGTTATACCTGTCCATTCTTGACGGCTATACCGATTTTACTCCAAAGAAATACACTAAAAGCCAAAGATGTTTTCCAGTTTAGGGATTTTCGCGTTCCATTCTTTCCTTCCTTCCCTAAGTTTAGTATAGTTTTAGTCTCTGAGTTTTAGTATAGCTTTCCCTCTATAAAAGAGGGCCCCCTATACCCCTTCACAATATGCTTTCACGTAAAAATATTTTGCCTTTTCACGAGTCACGAAAAATTGAAAAAATTCCTTCACGTTCACGGAAAAATCGAAGCGATCACGATTCACGTAAAAATAAAACAAAATTCACGAATTATTATAGGATGTCTTCCTTAATTGTAGAATCATTGTACTCGTCTGTACTTACTTCGACATGCTTTCAAACCTCCAACTATGTCGAAAACAGGCTCCTGTACATCAAGTACTTCAAAAAACAGCAACAAACCGTATTTATACCTTGGAAAGCTGATCACACAAAACAGATGATTCACGAATCACGCATATTTCTATCTGCCATTCACGGGTCACGGTTAATTCGAATCTTTCCTTCACGTGCACGAAAAAAGATTGGAAGTCATACTATCACGAATCACGGATTAAGAAAATCATCGATCACGTTTCACGGCTAAGTAAAATAAGCCCATCACGCTTCACGCAAAAAGTATAGGGGGCCCTCATAAAAGGGGGTCGGCTATTTTGCGAGTTGCGAGTTGCGAGCTGCGAGTTGCGAGTTGCGAGTTGCGAGCTGCGAGTTGCGAGCTGCGAGTTGCGAGTCGCTATCCTCGCTTTGAATTAGGCTTTGAAAGTATATTAATATGGACGACATGGAAGGGAAAGTCGAAGGGTTTTTTGTTTCATAAATATAATGACCTTCGAAGTTAAGGTCCCTGTAACTAAGACTTCGACACAAAAGAAAATGCTACGATACGGACGAGATAAAAATCGGCCTTTACTTGTTTTTTTACTTTGTTAGATCCATCGATACGTATGTTCAAGAATTAAAATAATTATATTGAAAATAAAAGTGCAAGTTTATATTTGCCGTTTCTGTGTTTAATAAAATCTAGTAGTTATCCAGACCATTTTGTGCTGTCTAATCTTAAAATGGTTATTTAATTTTATTAGTAAGTATGACCAGACACCGACTCAGTTTGTTTATATATACTGAACGCTGGGAACCCTATAAAACTCAAGTCCTTTTCATCGGAAGTACAATTTATTTTATACAATTTATACATAGACATACATAGACATACATATACATACATAAACTTTATCTAAACACGGGAAAAAACCATCAGTATATCAAAACGATTGCTATTTACAAGTTTGTAAGTATAAAAATAAATGCAATGAATGTTTATTTCAAAAGCTGAAAATTGGCGCCAAATTGAGACAAAGCTAAAATCCCATCCGCCAGGATGCCATACAGTTTTCAATTTGAATTTTTAGTGTAAACCACAGGTGTAAACACCTGGTTCGGTGCTTCAAAGCTAGGTTAGTGTTAACCCTGGGTTAAAATTAAACCCGATGTTATTAGAAATTAACAATATACTCGTAACTCGCAACTCGCAACTCGCAACTCGCAGCTCGCACTTTAGATAATCTCCTATAAAAGCACTCTTTGTTCTTTGTAGACATGATATAGTAATTCTAGTATGACCATAAATTGAAATGACGTACGTACAATCGTATGTAATGTTTTGTATTTTTGTATTATGTCAATATCACTGCGCTTTTTGTGTCAATTTGAAATTTGACGTTAACATGCTGTGATGAAAAACGAAAAAAAGCAGCTGGTTCCAAATTGGTAAGTACACAAATATTTGAAGCTGTATTCTAATAACTGTGGCACTATTGCGCATTTTCAAAAAACAGAAAATTTCATGGAAATTTTGCATTGAATGGGCATGCATGCACCTGTCGTTCGCATGCAATCCCGATATATTTAGTAATCAAATTTCGAAGTTCATATTGTTTTAAAAAATTGCGCCAGTGCCACAATTAAAAAAAAAATTGTACTTAAAGGCTGATTTGCATTATCAAAATTCCTATGACTACAGTAGGAATTTTGCGTAGATAAACTTTTGAAGGTCTTTTGTAAGAAATGACTCAAACCTTCTCTTTTCATTTCATTTCATTTCATTTCCGGTATTTTTATAGACGTGCGCTAACATCAAATTTTAAATCGACTCAGAAAGACTTAATAAAGGTCCATTGAGTAAATATTTTATCGCTTTTAATATATAATCGTCAATCAAATTAGATATGTGATTAAACGTTCTGTTTCAACACGACTGATTATAAAACTATTTAGCGCACACAGCATATATTGATCTTTTTCAATAAATATAGCGACATTGCTTGATAGCGATAATTATTGAAATGTAATGAAAAACGTCCAGGCTTATTAGCGAAATCACTCATTTTTCGTATTTCAAATACCCTCCAAAACTCCTTGAAAACGAGAGAAGAAGGTCCTTGGACTGAAGTCCTGGATTTTTCAGCTTATGAAGCTGTTTAGCTACCAACCCTGCTAATCGATGGCTCAAGTTCACGAAATATCTTCCGACGTAAAATATAACGTATTAGTATCATACTAGTGTACAGCAAATGCTGTAATTCGATTGGCTACTCTACCCGCTATCAATTCCTCGATAGATAACGCGAAGTAGCAAAACAATCATTTCTTGGCGCCTTTTTTTTTAATTGATGGCTTCCGGCTCCGCGTTTTTCTGAGTTTGATCTCTGATTCTACTAAAAACATTAGATTACTCCCTCGTTATCAGGTGATATTTGATTCGGGCTTCGCCCTCATCGTCTACCACCTCATATAGAAATCTCGAGCTCGTAATCTTAATTGTCAATTAGAAAATCGCTGACCAAAGAACTGAAGCAATATGAAATACCTCCTTGTGACCACCAAACAATATACTAATTTTTACATTGATTTACAGTTTAATCAATTTTGGCCCCTCCCCCCTTCCGACTTATTAATTTCAAGAAATACGTTACTTTCAATTCACATGTATTATTTCATAATTTATTTTTAATGATATCACATTGAATATTTTTATACTAATAACCTATTTACGATTACAAATGTTTTACTTTCAAATGACTATGCATAGTTGAACAAACTAGTAACTATATCACTATGTATAGTATATCAAACTGTGTTGTCAGCAGCACTCTCATTGATATCTAAAGGAAAACAATTGCAAAACAAAGACATGAGTTAAAATGAAAAAAGTTAATGCACGATGGATAGATTGCGCAATCTATACTTACTGTAGAATCAATTAGATAGTACAATTAATAGATAGCAACATGTAAGATCAATATAAATTTTACAGTCTATTTTGAAGCATACATCGTGAAATTTATAAGACTTAGTTAATAAATCACGCAAATCGTCAGTGGCCAAATTGGGATACGGAAAGTGCGGTTTCTTGGGGTAAAGGCCCCCAGAAAAGCCGGAGAAACAACAGGGTGTGACTAACGGCCCTCACCGTTATGAACATCTCATGTCCAAGCCGTGCTTCCCCGTGGTGAAGTGACCGAGAAATGCGTAGATCAGGACGAGGGTAAGTGTGCGTGCTTCACCGGTGCGTGCTTCACCGTGGGCGAAGTGTGGCGTGTGGACACCACTTTCCGTCCCGCTTTTTTATTTCTTCTTGAATGGATAAATTTATATTTATATACAAGTTAATAAAACAGAACAATACAGATATGATAACAATTGACTTCTTATATTTAAGTTCTCTAACTCCTGATTATTGTATGCTTATTCTTCAAATGTTTGGGTGGATGGTTGGTTGATTGGATGGTATTTTCGTTCCTTTTGTGTTGTCTCAAAGACTGTTGAAACAAGAATGAACTGAGATAAATTTGGCTAGCTTTTGCTGATAACTGAAGAATATCGGCATAGCAAAATCGGATTGTATTGGCATTGACACTTGGCGTATATTGCCAGGGGCAAAGCGGTTGTTTTCTTTGCTTAATTATCGTTTCCGTTTAGGTTACATATAGTTTTAGGTATGGATGTTGAGTCTTACTAATATTTTAATTTATTTTTTAAATAAATCGGTCCTTGAATTTTTATCATTTATAGACCCGGAGCGAGGGGGATTCGGCATAATATTTCCCGAAGTGATGCTATTTTCCGAGGGGCTTTGCCCCGAGGAAAATATCATCACTGAGGGAAATATTACGCCGAATCCCCCGAGCGGAGGGTCTATAAATGATATATTATACCGAAAGTTATAAAAGAACTACACTAAGTTCAGAATAAACTTTAAAACTTGCTGAATATTATTAAACTACGCGAATACAATTTTTAATTTCTTATGTATACCTGAGTAAATTTGACGTTTCCTCTTTAAATATTTAAGCATGTATCCTTTGGATCATTAAAGGTAAAATGCGTCTTGAAAATGTTTTGTTAAATCAAATATTCTGTACGAAAATACGAAATTACAAACAACAGCTCGCGAACGCCATATTGTTTCAGAGCGTGGTGTCCACGCGCCACGCGTGAGCGTGGGATACTATAATATCCCACGGTGGATCTGCCGTGGGATATTATAGTATCCCACGCTGGATTGCGAAATCATGAATTTGAGTGAAATACGAGGGTCCTGAAGGGGGATCCCAATCCCATTTCCCACCTGAAATTTTGGCAAAATCCCATTCCCAGTTGGATTTTTATTAGAAATCCCAGTCCGAGTTATTGAAATCCCAGTCAATAAAAAAAAGTTATTTATCGGTAGAATAAACAGTTTTAAGACTTTTTAAGCCACTGGTGTGTGGAAGTGGCGGACACTTTATGAAATATTGGGAGGGGGTTCGTGCCGAAGGCACGGAAAATTTTTAAATTTGAATCCCGGAAATGGCATTTGCAGCATTCTGAGACACGCATAATCACCGGAACCATCAAACCCAGAATTCCGGCCGCCAGAGTATGCCTGTTCGCAGAAAGTGCTGTGAATAATATAGTTAACAACAAAAATCATGACCAAAGACACCAAAAACGGATCAAAATTGTATTTTAAAATACTTAAAACGTAGAAAAATTGGGAATTGATTCGCATTACCTCAATCCCATTCCCATTTTTGAGGACTTCATTTCCCATTCCTAGTGGCCAAATCCCAGTCCCAGCAACCCAAATCCCACTTTCCCAGTCTAAAAATAGATCAATCCCAGTTCCCATTTTACCCCTTCAGGGCCCTCAAATACCGTAAAAAAAATCACATTATCACGTGGTACAAATGCTGTTTTTTCATTGGACAATTTGAATTTGAGGTATAATATAAATTCATATACACTTTGTAACGCTAATGTAATATCTGATGGGCTGCTGCTGAAGGTGAATCAAATATAAAATACGAAATATATAGATTCGATGCATTGATTTTTCGGAACAGTTTATATCTCCAGAAACTATCAACCGGCACACGGGCAAAGGACTTTTCATGACATTCTGGTCGAGATTATAGGATGAGGATTAGGGTTAGAATTGGGATAGAATTTAACAATACATTACATAGACTGTTCTAAAAAGGATAAAATAATGCAAAAGTAGCATAGCAGATAACAGTGAAAATATATGTATTGGACAAATGATCACTTTACCGAAAACGTATCAATGTTATGAATTCATCGAGTATGTTTCTCTTTGGCCA